TTGGGGAGGGGGCGGCTCCGGCGGTTTATTTGCAGGGAGTCCTCCGCCCAAAACCCTCTGTAATGTATTCAAATTTTTCCAAGGCGAGGCCAGAGTGTCAGTGCATTCATTTCATAAAATGCTTTTCTCGCTTCCACTTTTCCCCATTTCCCATTTTTTTTCTTTTTCCAGCTTTTTTAATTTAATCTCGGGCAAATATTTTCATTTTTACTGAAACGCTTTTAGCTAAATGAGTGGAAATAAAATTAAATCGATATTGGTTAACGTCAAAGTTTTTAGGGGAAACCTCAAATGACCAATTTGGGGAGAAAATTAAAGGAAGCTCGAAGTGAGTTGGAAAAAGTCCTAATGCAGGAAATTGATATGCTTAAATGATTGTTTTGTCCCTAATCCTCTAATAAATGGCAAAACTTGGAAATAGAAAACGGGTTCCACTCTAAGATGTTGAAAGAAAACTAGATTTTTTGAATTTTTTCAATAAGAAAATTAAAGAAAATTTGCCGGAGTAATTTTTGTTTCACCCTTTCCCCCAAACGCTAAAAGAAAACCTTGAACTTTAGGGTTTAATATTGTCAGATAAATTTGCAAGCCTTTTTCCCTTTAAAAATAATGACAAATCAGTTTGCAGATAAAGCCGCCGAAAAAAGCCCCCAAAAAATGTGGTAGAAAATAATAATCTTAAAATTTACTTTGGCCAGCCGCCGGCTCAAGCTTAACTAATTGTAACAGATTTTTTCACAGTCACGTTGGAAAGGGAAAGGCCAGAAAAAGCGAAAGAAAAATATGGAAAAAGCCTCTGGGGCGTAAACGTCTGCCTGGCATTATCCTGGCTGCGGTCGGCCAATTAGAACCCTTTGTTTGTCTTGGCCAAGACGCTGCGCACTTATCTCCATAATAAAGTCGTAACAATTAATTGAGCGGCCCGAAAACCACCTTTCCCAACCGATTTTTGTCCTGCGACGCAGCCTTTTCGGAGGACCTGGAAATTTTTCATCGTTTGACGCGTAATTAGTGCTTAAAAATTATTTGACGAGCGTCAATTAATTTAATGCTCGGCGACATGACTTCAAGTTTACCTTTTCGGGGGCACTTATCCACGGGGAGTTTTCTGGTTAAAAGGACTTTTATTCAAGTTTGGGCGGGATAAGGACGAAAAAAAGGCATTGAAACATGGTTACTTGCGTTTTTACTAATAAATAATAGACTTTTTTTGGTTTAGTAATGTTCATATAGCAATGTGGTATTAATTATTGCTATTTAAATTATTTTGTATTGTCTAAAAATGTATATTTGCATATACCATTGACCATTTATTACCAATCAGTATCCGAATTTTTGTAAGCCATCATATACATTATTTCGCATTGCCTCAGTGTCACCACAAGTCTTTTAATGTCAACCACATAATTAAGGAATATCAATAATAAAATAAATCTCAAAGCAACCCTTTGACCCTCTCGATCGCAAATATTGAATACGCCCAAGAATATGTTCAATTTTCCTATAGCAATCTGCATATCGCAAGCATGGCCACAGAGGAATATTTTTCTCTGCCCTGTTTTTTCGCACTCGCGACGAATTCGTTTTGAATGAATTCAACTGGAAAGGTTAAAATTATAAATGTGCAAATGACTCATCATAAATAAAATTAATAAAAGGCACCGCGAACCTGGCCCTGTCCTCCGCTTTTTTCTGACCCTGGCAGACTTTGAGACCTTCATTGAGAAAAAGTACAACGCATCAACATAAATATTATGATAAATGGTTTGTTATAATCGTAATCCTCGGGGGGTAAGTTTCGAGTCGTGCCGCACGCATTTTTTATGCCTTCCGCCCCTCCACCCACCGAATCGCCAAGAGCAGGATGAACTGCTTCAGTTCTCAATGGAGCAACATATGGTCGCGGGGTGGGTGGATGTGGATGTGGATCGGCGGAGTGGAGTGGAGTGGATGATACAGATGGCGCTTCGAATGGATTGCCGCCTCTCAATAGCCGGGGCCAACAAAGTCAAATTGTTTTTTATTGGCTTACCCCAAACCAAGGCAGCTCCTTTCAGTGAAAGTATCTCACTCTCCTGGTGAGATCCGTTTGCGTATCTCGCAGATACTTGAAAGAACTTGAACATGTTGCTCGAAAATTACAAACTTTTCTTGCAGTTCATTTCGCCTAATTAACACTTGATGCTGAGCGCAAATTTTATTGCTTCCACTTTGTGTGCATGTAAACAGGCTAACAAATCCATTTCTAAGGAGAAGTCCCCATCCTGTGAAGGGATTTCAACCGAAATAAGCGCCACACATTAAAATTCAGGATGCGTTGCAAACAATTTGCGGAAAACAATAAGTGCTGGGAAAGGGGAAACAAATTGTTATTTCAGACAGGCGGCGGGATTTCGAAATGTCGACTTAAATGGCCAGGTTTAAGAGGCCTTATTTAGCTGTCGGATATTGAGTATATTAAAAATGTACTTTTAATTGATAATTCCATATAAATATTATTTTGATAATTTTAGACGTTTAAAAACATTATAAGAAAATAATATAATAAAAAAATAATTTTCCCAGAGTTCCCAGCTTAGAAAATGTACCTCTAACCCAGCATTTAACTTTAATATTCACTAATCCCAGATGCAATCTTAAGATAAACTATTACTCATTTCCCATTCCCAGATCATTTAGATCGGTTACCACTTGACAAGGAATTAATTTGACAACGTTAACAAATTAAACTGTTAAACCCACACAAACACACTAGCCCTGTTCGCACACTGAGATAAACAAACGGTCGCCGGGACGGACATTTACAACATCATTTGTAATCCATATCGCTCAGCATGTCGTCCTTTCGTTTCTCGCCCATCGGACTGTATACATATCCATGTATTGTGAGTTCGGGAGTGGGTAAAAGATGTATTGACCCTTCAACGGCGCTTCGGAATGCTTCACGCTATTTATTGACTCACTTTCACTCCGGGAAACCGGCAACCAGAGACCCGGACTCGGACCCGGAGAAAGATTTCTCCCCTCTGGGGAATTCCTTGACGGTTCCATTTGCCACTCCGCACCGGCCACGTGTTGGGATTTGGCGGTTAAACACACACTTACACACACTTTCCAGGGGATTAGTGCTGCTCATTTGTCAACAGGATGTGTGGTTGGTGAGTGTGGTCAATATTAATTGGCAATGTATTAGTTTTAGTCAGTGCAGGCTCTCCTACAAACATTTGCTGAGTCCTTATATTCATCACGGCTGATGAATATTGTTGGATTTTATTTACAACTTCCATTTTTAATGCAGCAAAAAAATAATATCTCCCTTATTTGGAAACTGAATAATTTACTCTACTCTCTTATTTCATCTGGTTTTTACCATTCCAACATTTAAGTAAATAAATTCATTTAAATAAGAGTTCATAGAAGGTTATTTAAAAATCATGGTACAATTTAGAAAATGCTGATTATTTGTCATCACAGATCTTTTGTTCAACTGATATATTTTTACTTGTACAATCCATTCATTAACATATATTTAATTATATTTTCAAGTTATTTGTTAACAGTAAGAGTTATGGTGTGTGTGCTGGAACTCAAAGTTTTCCATATAGAATATAAGCTGTTTCAACATAGCCGTTGCTCGACTTGTGTCCGAAACAAATGATAAATTGAAAGTCTCTTTCCCGTATTGCAGTATTTTGCTCCCTCCGATCCAGTCAGTTTTATGTGCCCCTGGGCAAGTGAATGGGGAAATGGCGAATGGGAGGCACTGGTTGAAAATGGTGCAGCAGCAGACACGAAATGTGTATTTTCTGTGCAGCAACATGGCCAGAGGCCCAAAGGCTTGCAATTGCAACGTGCAACACGGCGTTCCCTCGGACTCCACTGCCCCCTTGATCGAAGGCAAAAAAAAAAGGGGGACAGGAAAAAACATTTTGACAAATGAACCCAAATAACAGGTTGCAATCGCTCTGAGGAAAGGGGCTCGGGTTTTGGGCACCGGGCACCAAGCACTGGCCCGGCAAATCGGACAGGAAAACGTATGGTCGGACAACCTTGATACCTCATTTATTTTAAATGCGGCTGCCTCGATCCCTGGCCCAGCTGTAGTTTTCTTTATTTTTATTTTGTACTCTCCTCGTCGCTTTTTCGTATTTCTTGCGCAAATGAAATCGACACATTCGACTCCAGTCGAAGCGAAGGGAAATAAATGAAACATTTCCAGCGCGGTCCGCTCTGCTCTCGAAAATTGTTACAAATGATCGCAAATAACAGATCTTTGCCGGCACCAGAGCGAGCTGTCCATCAAAGGAGCCGAACCCTCTCGGTGCGTGATCGAGTGGCAAAGGCGAAGGGATCGGTTCGGGCGGCGGTACGGACATAGAGTTCTGGCTTTCTGGCTTTCTGGACGGGAAGTGGCCAAGGCGCCGCCATGCTGCGCCTCATTTGATGCAAGGTAAATTGCATTGATTTCTTGATTAATGACAGTTTCGCATTTCATTGGATGCACGGCAAGAAAAAATTGGAAAGATTTGTTTTAAGCGAATCTACGGCAGCAATATAATGGTAAAAGCTTTACACTCACTGTATAAAATCTATATAACTAATGCAATCGTTATAATTAGAATAATTTAAAAACGGAAAAAGTGTAAACAAAATATTTCCATAATAATGAGAATCCAGATTATCATTTTTGATAATCCCATTTATCCATTTATATTGGTATCCACTGTTCTCTAATATTCAAGTTCATTTTGAGAAGCCTATCACAACTTTTTTCTCTGGACGATAAATATTAATAGATTTAAACTTTCTCACCATCTATCACATGTTTAAATGTATAACAAAGATTTTACTATAAAAAGTACCATATTCCATAAACTTTATTTGGGCACAAATATATATTTTTTAAGATTTTAAGGAGCGCCTTTAAATAAAAGATTCAGTAATGATCTTTGAGCGAAATACCTAACTTTTTCCGGAGTGTAATGTGTATATGGACTCACCCTGATTGTTGTTGTTGCTGCTCTTGCGGGATGTCTTCTTCTCCTTCATCCAGGGATACTCCGGCACCGAGTCCATTCCATCCGGCGTTTGAGGGACAACGCCAACCGGATATCCGACTCCGACCCCGACATTGACATTAACGTTGACGCCCACTCCTCCGATGGCGCCGGCACCAACAGGTGTTCCTATTTTGGGACTCTCCGGACTAAGGTGGTTGAGGAACTCGGCCATCGTCGGCTGCGAGTTGATGAATCCGCCCTCGGAGGCTGCCATCCAATAGGCCGTGTCGGCGCTCCGCTTATCACAGTTCGGGGTCATCTTGTTGACCAGCATCACCGCCGGGACCGGTGGCGCCCCCTGCTGGCCGATCCCGGGCTGACCGACACCCACACCACCCACCACGCCCGCACCACCGCAACCACCCACTGGCAGGGACGTCTGCCCAGTTTGCACCTGCAGCGGATTCAGCGGCGACTCCGATTTGATTTGCGTGCCCATCGGGGTCGTGTCCAGGGTGCTGCAGACTTCTTGCATTGCTTGGGTTGATTTGTCTAAAGTTCAATATTCTCTGTTTAAATTCCTGGGTGTTTTAAATATTCCTCAGTTTGGGGGCCTGCAAGATAAAGCACAGTTATCCCATTTTTATTATCAAAACTATTTCAAGACTTAAAAATTGCGGGTGCCTCCCACTTTAAATGTAAGGTTTTGGACCTCTTTAATTTAAATTATGCAGCAAAAATATTAAAAATATATCTAAACTGTTTGAGAGGAAGGTATCATTGTAACAAAATTCTGGAACTAACATAACTGGTGTTTAAGTTTTGAATTTTTGGTCAAAAAATGATTATTTTATAATATTTGTAAGTAACGTTTCTAAAACTACAACCTTTTGAGCAAAAACAAATAATATATATTTATTCAAACTGATAGAAAATGTTTAATAAAACAATTTTGACCCAAAACTTTTCGGTATTATTTTTTCTATATACTTTTTTAAAAGTCTGTTTTTTTAGAAGGTCACTTATAAATTGAAATGGGCCGCATCGGACGTCTATACCAAATAGTTGTCATACATCGTAACATTATAAGGAAATAGCTTACTTATTTAAGCATTTACGCATATAAATCAAAATAATTAATAAATCGTATAGATCTGCCACAGAAACCGTCATTCAATTTATAAACTTTTTAATCAACTTAGAAATTTTTCTATATTTATAGAAATTGGCTTAATAATAACTAAACTCTTATATATTTACAATCAAACTGATTACTTTAGCGGTCGACAAATCGACGTAAAAAATATGTTAAAGAAATTTGTAATGGAGAAAAATGTTTAGTTCTCTCCTAACGCTACAAAATTTGTGAAAAAATGGTAAAGTTACTCGCTTTACCACTTAATTCTTTATTCTAACATTTCCCTTTTGGCTTTGGAGATATACGATAATTTAAAAGAAAAACACCATAATATCACTGTGTTTAAACAAATAAGCATTAGACTCGAGGCAGTGTTACAAGTTATTTTATATAATTACATAGGTTTTAAGTTTATTAAGACTTAAACGACGAGCGGCCGTATGAAAAAGTACATTTTGTTGAAAATCCGTTTTAATCAAAGTAATGTGTAGATATTACATTTTTTCAAAAACAACAAACATAATAATTGTATTTGCTACATTTTAAATCTGGATAATAAACATGTTACAAAAATGTAGATTATATTAATTTTTCTGATTTAAACTGGTTTTAAAGAACCTTAATAACTAATAGCAAATAAATGATTTTTCTCCTTGAGCAAGAATTTAAAAGAAAGAACTCTGGGGTCTTTATGTCTCGCTTTTATCAAAAACAATCAAAACGTTTCTCGGCCATCCAAAATTAAAACTTATTGAACTTTGCGAAAACTTTAGCATATATATATATAGACACAAATCCTAAAACTAGCTAAAGCCACTTGTAATAAAAACAGGCAAAATAATAAGAAATGTAAACACTTTTTAGGTTGAAAATTTGTTCTTTACTTACTCTCAATCTTCTGAAAAAATTATATTTTATCCTACAAAAATAGTTATTTTATAAGACTTTGCTTGAAGCTGAAAATAAATATATTTTTTCAAAAACACAAACCTTACAAATATAACCAAGATTTTAACATTCTTTAGCAAATGCCTACAACTATATAAGCCCTTATAATCGTGTTACATTTGTTATAGCTAAATCAACCTCTTACCATTTCAAATTGATCATTTACAGATCACAGTATTCCATAATTCTTTTCGAGTATTGGGTTGACATATACGTTCTTTGGACAAGTTCACTTAGGTCACGGTTTTCACTACTGTCTGCACTTGTTCACAGTAACTGTTGGGGTTTAACCCTTTGTTTTATTTTTTTTTTTTTTATTAACCGGCACAACTTTCACGATGCGGGTTTTGCGTAGAACTTTAGTGTGTCACGGCTTATCTGTGGGCCGCGAAAAGAGGCGACAACCGCGACGACAACGAGGGAACCCAGATACGAGTATAAATATGGCCACCGTTGTGATTACTCAACCGTCAAGTGCTCTTTGGGGTTTGTTTTTCGCTTTTCAGTTCGGCACACACCTTTTGGCAGCCATGGCGACGCGAAAAGGCCAACACAACCGACTAAACTATGGCGATAACTACGATAATGCCAGTTGGAGGTACGCGCCGCACTACGGTGCGTATGCGTGATGTGTAGAGTTTGTAGAGTCGCTGCGATCACTGCAATGGCAAAACACACACGTACACACGCACACACAATTGTTGCAATTCGTCTGAGATAGTTTTCTCCACTTCTCACTCATACACGTGTAGGTACTATCTGTCCCTTTCTGACTTTCAGGAGGTGCGCAGAACCGGTTTTTCATGGGTTCCTAAAGTGGTTTTTAACCGAATGCACCAAATGATGGTTAAAATTGCAGTTTTTCGTAATAGAATATTTTTATTTTTAATTTTTAATATTTTTAAAGAAATTTTGTATTAAACACAAGTATTATTGTTTAGCCACCGAACCGTTTCAGAGCGAGAGCAAGAGCGAGACAGAGGACTTCTGGGGAGCTTCGTGCGGTTCCCGAGAGCTAGAGAGCAACCAGAAGCAACAACCATTCCATCCAATAGCACCGAACGCACTGAATTGGGATTTTGGGACCCGGTATCAAGGAGTGGCCTAAGCGACAGCCACCGCATCCATCACACTTTTTCCTGGTCGGCACATGCGCGGTGCCATCTGGAAACTGGTTACCATAGCCATTACTTCGTGGTGCCCAGGGGGTGGAGTTCACGTCCGCGGCCACGCACACCGGCGCGCAAGTCTCCGGACCGCTGATTGGCTGGATTTTCACTTTGGCTTGTAGCTTTGTGGTCGTGTAGCTCTGGAACCCCTGTATCTTTGGCCGTCATTTCCGCAGCGTTTTCTTGCCTCACTCGCTTTTTTCCACTTCCAACGCGAACGTGTTGCTTGTGACGGAATTTATTTGGTTTTTTGTTATTTACACATTCCGCAGTAGCAGCAGTAGAAAAATGAAAAGAAAAAGCAATTGAAGCGAGTTTCTTCTCGCTCTCCGCGTTTTTTGGCTTTCGGGTATTTTTGACATTTCGCTTTGCTCATCGCTCTTTTTGTTTTGAGCGCCTCTTCTCCTGTCTAACCATCACGTTGTCAATCTTGGTGGCATTGCTTTTTGCCTTTTGCCCACTTTTTCGCTCTCTTTTTGCCATAATCTCCGAGCCATGCATTCGGCGGCAAAAATTCGTATGTAATTATGTGCGGATTTTAATGCACCCGAATGTCGCACTACAGGTGTAAAATTATTGCCACATTTGTTACAATGCGGGGAAGTCTACTGTAAATGGTGCTTAAAACCTTAAAATGTTTAATATATTTTTTTAAAGATTTTTCTTCGTCAGTTAACAAAAGAATTCAATATTTAAATGACAAATTAAGGAAAGACAATCGCATTTATTATTTTTTTTTGTTTTACCTATTATTATTATTATTTTACCTATGATGGTTAATATACGATTTGCTAATTATCATTCAACCACATTTAACTTCTTTACTAGCCACACCATTAAACACAACCGCAACACAATATACTAGACAGGCTAAAAAGTTCGCTTCGATTATTAAATTTTTGCATTCATATCAACAGACCTAATTTCGCACATGTGGGAATCAATTTGAGAGCTTTTGCCAAATTGGTTCGAGATATGTAAGTAAAGTATGATGCCTATTTTAAAGCAAAATACAACTTTCGTTTTTGGTTGCAATTCGAAGTTTTGCAATTATATTAATGGGTTAAAGAGAATTGAATTATTTTCACAGTTTTTGTGAGATCGATGCTCATACAGACGGTTTGGTTCTCCTTAAGTTACATACTATATTGTTTTTATACACTTCAAATACTTTTCCTAATGGTTACTTAAAAGATTAATTTTGTAAAATCAAAATTATGCAAGTTGTTTGTTTGAAGTGCGAGCTCACAAGTCCAAAGTAAATTTTTTTTCCTGGTAATAAGAAATTGTACTTTAATTTTAACTCAGATGAATAAGATTGTTTAGACATTTTTTGTTAATATTTTATTTAAGTCAAAATAAATTTAAGAAACAATGTAATAGTTTTATACAATTCAATATAATATATTTACAGTATCATTAACAAATTCCTAAAGTTATTTTTAAAAATCTAATAAGCTCTGTATGAAGTCATAGTCCACATCCAGAATTTCCTCCGATGAAGTGGAACCTGCAGCAGTACTATTCGAGTCCCAGCAGTAATTCTGAACCAATTGCTGATCTTGGGCGTAACTACTGGTGTTGGGCACAGTAACATTTTCAATGGCAGGAATGGTTGCTTCAAGACCCAGCACATTACTCAAACAATTCGTATTAGGGTCGTTAAAAGGCAGAAGATCCATTGGAGCATTGCAAAACTCGTGTAGGTAGTCGTATGCCTGATAAGGGGGTGTGATATGACCCTCCCCTTGGACACATGGAATTTCCTGTTGCACTTGAACTGTTTCCACATTTGTGTTTACATACTGCAGGAGACGTTCCACGATCAGTTCGTCCTCCAAGAGATCCTCGGTGGATTTGGAATTAGTCGTAATAGCCGAGGTAAAATCTCCCTTGGTCAGTTTCTTATTGGACGACTTCTTGAACTTCATGCGACGATTCTGGAACCAAATCTTAACCTGTCTCTCGGTGAGACCCAAACGGTGGGAAATCTCAATTCGGCGCGTCCGAGCCAAATATTTGTTAAGATGGAACTCTCTTTCAAGTTCGATAAGCTGATGGCTGGTAAATGCCGTGCGAGACCTCTTCGATTTTTCCAACGACTTTGTTGCAGCCAAAGGAATAGCTTCCAAATTTAAGTCAACACAAGGATACATCTAAAAATATAATGAAAATTGTAAGACGTATTTAGTTTTACCCAAAACTTAAAGGAGGATTTCTAACTCACCTTAAAGTCACTGATTGAACAGTTGTCCACAAAACAGTTTTCCTTTTGAATAGAGAACATTATTCTATTAGAGTGTATTTTCGTTTGCTTCTGTTCACTTTGACTGTTGTTTTTTAACTAGATGCTCTGAAGGCGGTTCATTTTCTTATATACCTTAGATACCTTAGGTAACGAATCGGATTGGTTCCTACCTGTCCCGCCTGCGACACTTCTGAGTTCGCAGACGGCTAGTCTGGACTGGTAGATGTCGCGTCTTTTAGAGCCTGGCTCCGAATCAAGGTGAAGTCCAGGCTCCAGAACCCATGACAATTTTCTTGGTAGCGTCACACGAGGCGGCGTGAGTCCTTTCTAACGATAGTCGCAAATATAAAGTCTGGATATTAAAATTCTAAGTAGCAATCTGGGATACATGTCTGTCATTTATTTTAGTAATGTTGGTATTGCAATTTAGTTTTCCGTACATAACACTTAAACTATTATTTTATATTAACTTCTTAATAGTGATATTAAAATATATTTACCGAATACAATACACAAAATAGGTTCATTTTAGATTGACCTGGTCTAGAACCATCTAAGAGATCCACTAAGATACCATTAAGATTCCATACTTACATTCCAGCCCAGCTTTGTTGCCGGCCAAGATAGACCCCAATCCCCCGATCAGGTAGTTAACGGCCATGAACGGGAAAGCATTTGGTTTTCCCCGGGGTTTTCCACGCCAGTTATGAATATCTTAGGGTTGAGCTACCTGCTTAGCAGGAGTGCGCGATCCGATCCGATCCGTCCCTGATCCATGCTCATAAAAAGAGTGTCACTGCCACTTCGAGCTAATCCAATAACCCGCTATAAAATCCGCTACATCCCCTGTGCTACGTGATACATGGAGTAGATTTACAATCGCACAGGCTTATGTAAACTAAAACTAGATTTTCTTGGAGGGAAATGTATAAGTCCAACTAAAACAAAATCTCTTGAGAGCTCAGGTGATCTTTGTCCAGGAGAAACGGTTGATCCGAAAAAAGATCTTCCTTTTGATCCAACTAAATATAAATAATTTAAGATGTTAACTAGGTTAACTGCCATAATGGCTAATCAATGCGTCAAAATAAGTTGCAAGCCTGTAATAGCTGAAGTAAATGTCTCGAATGCATGGGAAAACCGTATATAAATAACACATAATGACAAACTTTAAGAAGGACTGTTTAAGACTTGATTTGAAAATAAAACTATTTACATTTTTCATTAGAAAAACTTATAATTCTTATAGAGGGAAAATGTATTTTCATTTCTCTGTAATTTATAATACCTTTAGTTTTGTTTTCATTAATAAAAGGCTTGATACCTTATATAGCCATTTAAGTTATGACCAATGCTCTTTAAATTTAAGTAATCATAGGTTTAACTCAGGAATATTTTTGTTCTCATACGTTTCAAGCTGGTTAAGATATGAAGCCAACATAAAAGACATTTGGTCGAACAATTTTGTGGTCACAACGAAAGGCTCCTCTTTCTTCCTTAGTGAGCATAGATAAATTGGTGTCATCACATCATAAAGTGATTTCCAGCATATTGAAATTTTCCTCAGCTCTTCCATCTCGGCCAGCGTGTTGTGTCACATGGAAAGGAGATGAGAACACTTGGATCATATTAGATTTGCCATGTTTTGTGAACAATATTTCATCGTCAGCTGTCACAGAGTCGTGTCTTTTTATTAGTTATTTGATTATGCCAATAATAGAAACTTGTAGAATTTCATTATCGATAAAGTTTTGCTATCATGGGAGTACGCTTAAAAAGTGCATAAACAAGTGGGGTAACAAATGAATAAAGTTGTAAATGTGAAATTAACTTATAAAAGCTGCCTTTTATATTTAATCTGCAACAAAATGTGTTTATTTTTGTATGCGTTGCCATGACTATAATAGGTAATTATTTCGATCTTATCCTGATCAACTCTCGCTTAATGTCTTTCTAATTAATATTATTTTCACTCGATTGGTTGACATTAAAGAGCAGTAAAAACATTCCATGAGTTGCGGGAAAACAATTGATTGATGCGCTATATGTTTATATATATTTAGCTTTTTCCTATTGTTCAGATGAAATAAAATGGAGACATAACTGTCAGATAATTGCGTTAAATGGAAAGGATTAATGAGTGGATAAGAATTTGTGCCTTCTCAGTGGGGCGATTCATTCGGAGTTCCCCTATGGCACCACCCCCTGCCCCCCCGCCCACTCAACCACCCACCCAAGAACAAGATGCAACTACCGCAACAACCGTGACAAGTACAACATTTGTGTCGCCTGCCTCGGCTCAATCTGTCGCCCTCCGCCTGTGCCACGCAACCTTTGACACGCATAAATGGAACAGCCAACCCCCGGCTCATGCTCCACCCCCTGAATCCCCCTGCTTCTGCACCTGCACTTAAAGAAAGAAATTAAATTAAAAAGGTTCCCTTTACACATAGGAAAGGCTTCCCCGTATTTAAGATTAATTAATTTAAATTTGCTTTCTTTCTATATCTCAAAAATAGTAATTATTTTATTCAACAACATTTTATATAGTAGGAACAAAATTCTTTTGCTGTTGATATTAAATTTGTATTTTATTTTTCATTAATTTTCAAATAGTAATATGGCAACATTTATATTTAATTGTTATACGCTTATATGGGATATTATAATATATTATTAGTCAAAAGTATATTTCGGATTAGGAGCATCAGTAGATCAAGGGATTTAATCTAAAAGTAGGGTTTCATTTGTAACTATTATAATACAATACTATAATGTTTTTTTTAACTTTTTACTTATTTTATAAATTTGTTTTAAATTTAATAATATTTGGATAAAGCTGCCTTAGAAACTATCAGTCAATCTGATAAAAATCTGATAAAATATCCTGTAAGTTTGCTGTCAATTTAAACAGTATTTTACACTTGTATTAATGTAGTTAGTGGAATAATTTACTGACTCATTTTCTTTCATTTTCAAGAAATATTTTAAGTTATTTATATAAGCCTTACATTAATACTTTTTTTAAAAAAATGTTTAATCTTTTCTTTGGTAATTCGCAGTACTTTAAACTTTTATAAAAATCTTATTTATAAAATCCTGTATTTTATTTTAGTAACCACCCAATTTGCTTAATCTTTCTAATAAGCTTAATTGTAAAATAAACTTAACATGCCTAAAATAAATTTAACCAAAAAAAACCCAAATTAATGTTTGCAAAACTATTTATTAATTCATTTCCAGAGCAAGCCTTTGATATAATATTTCGTTCAGTGCTCAGACATGCCAATGCTGAGTGTCAGCTCTTCGCAGTACGGTCTCCGGTCTCCGGTCTCCGGTCTGCTGTCCTGGCCCGAAACCCGGACCCGGCACAAACAAAGATCGCAATTTGACTCTACACCACGGAGCTGTCAGCTGGCAGAGAGTGAAGGAAGATTGATTACCGCCATCGAATGTTTGCCCTTATCCAGGGTGGTTGCAGCGGAGGACGGAGAGGTTGAGGTGGCGGGCGGAGGATGTGCCTGTGTGCCCGACTTCGATTGAATGGCATCGGAATGGAATCGAAAGAGTTGAGCTTCCAAACACGATACTCCTGCTGTCATATGTAAACAGCACTTGAAGTTTTTGTGGGGATAGGGTTGCCTTTTAAAACGCAGAGGAGGGCGTTCTTATTTAAAGCCGAAAATAAGCTTAATGTTGGTATAATCATTTTTTTAGAAGCGGGGACACTAGGATTTTATTATGAACAGTTATCATCTAATAATTTGTGGGCTCACTGTATTCAAGCCAAACTGGTTTCAAATTATTCCTAAAGTTTATTTTAACCTTTCCAGGAAATCATCAATGAACTCCATCTGTTTCGAATTGAATTTGCGGGCATATTTAACACAGTTCTCGAAATTCGACTCATCTTTAAGTCCTTTATATGCCATGGCACGATACATCCACGCCCTCAGGTTCTTCTCATCCAACTTGTTTAGCACAAAATCGCAGTCGACAATGCCTCGTTTGAATTTACCCGATCTGCAAGGACGAAGGGGAATTGATAAATATCTAAAGGAATTTCTATTTCATCCGCTTACTTGATGAAGCAGAGAGCGCGATTTATGTAGAGGATGTGACTGTCCCGGATATTCTCAATGGCTTCGGTGTACATATGCATAGCAGTCTCATAGTTTCCTTTACGATACTCAGCATTTCCTAATCTGAAAGGGATGTGATGAATACTAAGAACTCCAAATAATTTGAAAAACTTACTTTCTAAAGTTTTGGGCGACTCTTTCCCTTTCCAATCGAGCTTTAGAGCGTTGGTCGAGATCCATTTCGACCTGACGCATAAAAGGAAATCGATCTTTACTCCGATCCAGACGGTTGAAAGTTCTACGATGTATTTTCTCCTTGGAAACAATATCTTTAGGCGGACAAATAACAGCGGCAGAATCCTTTCGCTCAGTGATTATAAAATTTTCCTCTGTAACAATTGTCCCTTTTGGATCCTTCTCAACTTTTTCCTGCTCCTCTTCCTCATCCCTAGATACAAAGGTCAAGGAAATATTTTTAATACGGCATGTTTTTCTACTTACTCGGTAGGCATTCGCAGGTTTTTGAGCAATTTAACCACTTCTTCAACTGTTGATTCCGAATCTAAAAAGCGCTCATCGATTTGCGGGTGTTGCAAGGAATACATGGTCACAAATATTAAATAATGACCAAGGGATTCCAATAAATATTTGCTTTTTATTCGACCGTTGTGGAGTTTTGTTTATTCAGCATGTTTACCAGCTGGGCAAACAAATCGCGTGGTAACTTGGGGTTGTATTATTTATTGTCCATAACCAACGGGTTGCCTAGCAATAATGTCAAAAAAGGTTCAGAGGCTTTGGAAAACTATCGATAATAACGGTTTTAAAATGGTATTTAATAATTAAAAACATTGAATCTTTTTATTTTGTTAGTCTATTAAAAATTAACATTACATTATTTTATTTTGTTAGGCTATTAAACATTAACATTACATTAAACATTACATTAATAAACTTAAAAACTAAAAATAAATGTTTTAAGAGTTTTGTGAGATAAAATGAGGGCTTAATAACTCCCTGTTTTTAAAGTCTTGGCTAAAATCAAGTATTTAAAAAAAATTTTTATAACGAGTTTGATTTTGATGATTTTGCGAGTCATTTGCGTGGAATCGTTTACATGATTATGTGTGTAGACAAACACACACCTGCATACCCTGATACTAACACTCTGGCTGATAGTCATATTCATAGTCACGTTCACATTACTTTTCATTTAATCTCATACAATTTGTAAGATAAAGAAATGCACAAATGCATGTACAGCTCAGCTTGGCTCAAAGGATCAATTATAGACTATAAAACATAATGGCATCTAATAATAGTAGAGCCGCAATCTCAACGCAACTGAACCTTGCTCCTCAACCCCCTTCTACATCACCAGAAGCTCCACACTCAGAAAAACTTACATCACATTAATTAATTTTTGCAATTATTTCTAATACACTATTTTAACCATTTTTGCTTGTCAAACAGTCTGAAACTGTTAGGTTTTATTGATTTAATTATTTATTTAAGTCATTAATTCACTATTGTTTTTTATTAATATAATATAAATATAACAAGTGGGACCTTTGTCTAAGATATAAATATTTTCCTAATTACCATCATCTACTAAGTATATCTGAGAATGAGTAAATGGAGAAAAAAATAAGCTTTGCAATATTTGACCACAATGTTCCGTATACCTTATTTTTAACAAATGAAATAAAACTATTTGAATTAAATCATTTAACAAAGCTGTCCAAAAGGTAGTCATTTATTCAATAAATAAATTTTTATTTATTTTATTAAATGTAGTGTTTTCTTTTGCAGTGTATCCTTGGCCTCTCGCTCGCTCCTTTGGCTCACCTGAAAGTGCATGTCGCTGGCACATTACCTGCAATAGTGCACGGGGGGGAGGGGACTTGGAGAAAAGGATACCTGGCGAGTGAGAGCTGGGTGGCGGATATGTGTCTGTGTCGTGTGGGCCAAGCATTTAGGAGCCGGCTCACACACACACTCACAAACGCACACACTGTGCAACCGGACATGGACATGCTTAAGCGCCGGGCTCTGTTGGCCAAGTTAGTAGGGAAAGGGGCGGAAACAAAATGCACGGGAATAAATAATTGCAGTGCGGCAAAAGGAGCCTGAACTGGTTGTAGCACCATTTCGCTGCCAGCAAATGGACAAACGACAACGACACCAAATTGCTCACATGACGCACCGCATTTTTTATTCGGCACGAAATTCGTTGTTGGTTAGCAAAAGTTGGTAACGCTCCTTGCGGCAGCTCCTCGCCGCCTGGCGGCATCATCAGCATAGATTGCCATTTCGACGTAATTGTTATAAATGAATTTCACGTAATTTAATTATGGGTTTTAGACCGATGAAAAATATACCAGCCAACGGGCCATAAATATGGCCCAACCCTATAGATGGGAGGTCACTTGCATATGCTGCGTATCAGCTGTTGAGAGGGTTGAGCATGCTCGAATTATCCATGAAATGGGAATGGGATTGTGAAATGAACCTGAGTTACAAATGAGAGGAAGGGGAATTGCAATGGGAACCGTCGGATTATTTGAAAATCCATCTGTGACAGTCTTTAGTAGACTTTACTTAAAAGTATCATTCGTAATTAAAATTGTTTTCATTTTATTATTGATCTTTTAAATATCCCACCACAATGTATGTAAATATCCCACACAAAGCAGACTTATTAGTAAGAAAAACATTTACCAGTTTTGCAAGCATTTCTAAAAAAATGATAATAATAATATGTTAAAACAAAAAAACAGTTTTCACATGACTTTGCCATTAAAGTTTTCATTAAATAAAAATAAAATAAATGTGAGACATGAAGAGCAGAACAAGTGATCAAAGCAAACTTACATACATACCATGTTCGTATTTATAAAAATAGTTGGCTAGGTATCTCGACTGCGTTTTAAATTTGCATGCTAAATTATAGAACCCTCTATAAGGGTAAAATAAATTCAGCAACAGATGCTTGCAACAACATCACGGCTCACGACCCAAGTGACTCTTGTTCGGGTTGGCACAACAAAAAATCTATTGTAAGTCCACGAGTTCCATTTTGGGCTCCTGGATGCTCCACTGCCCTCGCCCCATCCCTTAGCCAATTGGCATTCAAATTTTGAAGTGATTTTTTTCACGCATTCACAATCTTCTGTGGAATACGAAATAAGAAGAGTTTCCTGTGCCTGCTGTTCACTATATATGCATATTTTTTGTGGACCAAAACAGTACAAGCCCGGCATATGTGGAATGGACGGAAAGTTTTTCTGGCTCAGCACGATTTGTTTATACGACAGGTGTTGGCCATATCGGTGGCGTTGAGGGACTAACACGTCTGTGAAATGTCATAACGTTTAAACGTGCCAAAAATATCCAAATTGAGCCCAAAACAGTTGGGCGGAGTGTTGCAAAAGCGGATGGGTGAAATACATTTAGAAAGGCTTTTGGTAGAGTTTTATATTTTTGAAATGATTGTACATTTTAAGTTCTAAAATTGGTTTCAAACACTTTAAACTTTATAAAAAATGTTTGACTTATTTTTTTTAACTGTATAATGACGATTTAGATTGGGTTTTAATTATTTTTCCACGTATTATTAAAAAACCCACTAATTTACTGAACATTTTACGGTTTTAAACATAATTAGTTTTAAGAATTTTCGGGATTTTACCTTGGTTTTAAGATTAGGTGTTTAATAGTTTCAAATAGTCGGAGTAAAGATATTATAGAACCCACGCTGTTGTTTTCGTAGCTACACTGTTTTCTAAGCAAAGAAAACTTCTTGATTCTGTATGTACAAAGATCTATCATTTGAGCGTAAGATACCAATTTCCTATTCCACTGATCCACAAATAAACCCGTTAATTAACTTGCACAGATTCCCCACCAGAACTAAGCGGATTCCTCGCGAAGTCATTTCATTTGCACACAAAATACATTTCGCTCGGCTGTCGCGAGGATTCCAAGCACTTGGCTTTCGAGTCCTGGCCGCGAATTCAAAATTCATTGCAGAAGGAGTGGCGTGAGGGCCGGTTGTAAGCCAAAAGCTTCCAAAAGGCGATTAGCCATAAAAATTATAGATTCAATCTAATTACAAAACGCTGCGGTTGGGCAATGTGGAGTGGGCGTGCGACTCCCAAGTGAATATTTAATTTAATTAACAAGAAACAATTTGAAATGTTTTTCGCCCAGCCTCCGCTGCGGTTGCGGAATTTATTGTTATGACCAGGCCAAGACTGCGGCGTTGTCATTGTCATCAAGGCTCCAGATTCCCGCCTCTGAGCTCCTGGCTCTGGCTCCCAACTCGCTATTCCGGCTAATAAAACCGCAATGGTGCCACTGAGCGAATGATTGGGCATAGGAATTGGCTAACTGGAACAATGGGAACAATCTGTGCGCTGTTGCTGTTGGACATGTTTATTACATTGGCATTTCGCGTAATTGAAGCTGGCCCGCGGAGAGTTGTTTACTTGTTCCTGCTGTTTGCTTTTTATGCGAGTTTGATTAGCTGCCTCTGATTGCCGTGCGATTAGCCACGCCCACGCTTCTCGAATCCGGCATCTATATTCATTATGGCAGCCCGAAACATGTGCAGGACATGCTCCCAGCGAAAGCAAACCAGAGCCGAGGCGAACCGGCCACATGTCAGGAAATGTCAACAATGCGCATGAAAATTCCAAGGATCCTCCCCCTGCCGAAGGTCCTCCTCTTTGACCCGTGACTTCCACATGGATTCACTCTGAGAAAAAATTACTTCAAACTTACTTTTAAACCAAAAATAGATCGACTTAATATAATATCTCTTATGTCTAATTGCGAAAGTATCGACAACAAGAAGCTTATTTTGACAAACCAAAGTTTATTATTCTACAAAAAAAAATAGATTTTTAATATGCATATGTGATTAAAAATAATATAAAATTTTCAAATTTAAAAAATTTAAAACAAATTTAATAATTCCGATTGGCGATCACTGACTCTAAGCAATTAATATAAATAAACTATTTTAATTGGATTTTAAAAAAATTTCCCATATTTAAACAAATTATAAAAGTTTTGAAAAATAATTCGGTTAGGCTCAGATAATTTTTCCAGTTTGTATGAAAATAACTTTCTCGATTTGTATTTTTTATAGTGCACGTCCTGCGATTCCTTTGGCCGTGGCAAGTGCGAGCGACAATTTCCTCCCAGGGGAAGCAATTTGCCACACACACAGCACTCCACACCACTCCACACCATACCACACCTAAGGGCCCAAGGACCAAAGGGATGGATGGATGGAGGGACTGGAGGAAATTCCTTGGAGCTGAGGCTGAGTGCCGCATTTCCGCGCTGCAAGACGCTGGCCAGCCACCGCAGCCAGTAGCAAGTAATGTGTGCGGTTAAATGTCCATAAATCAAATCCGAACACTCCACGTCCACCGCTCAAGATGACCAACGGAACCCGGTCCGGCGGGCTGTTACAGTAACTGTAACTGAAACTGAACCTGGATCCGGATCCGGATACGAATGGGAAGGGGTACGGGATCGGGGCTGGACCTGTCCGAGTTAATGCGGTTGACACTTTTCTGGGCCCTAATAGATGGGCGATGCAATGGAAATTCCTCGACTTGACCTCAAGTCGTCCGCAATGGGACATTAAATGCAAAAGTGAAACCGAAGACAACTGGGACACCGGCTAAATGCTAAAAATTAACCCTCCTTTTCCCTCTTTCGTTTCACGTTTCCAGTAGTCAAGTGTCCTTTTTGGAGTAGTGAGGGTTAAAGGATACTTAAAGGATTGATGAGGGAAAAAATGTAACTAAAGCAAAGTTTTGTAAAAGTATCTAACTGCCAGCTAATGTAGCTGAATGATTTCGGATCGCAACGCTAAAGGTCCTTAGACTTAGACTATATAGAAACAACATTCTGTAGTTTTCGTAATCGGAATATGGAACTTTCTATTTCATCCAACAAACATAAATAAATGCATAACATTTTCCGTTTTCGGTTTTTAGATCTGTTTTAGCATTTGTTTGCTGAATATTGCGTTGTATATTATGTATTAGAAAAATAACGAACGGTTATATTGTTTTAGTTTTTTTATTTATCATTTGTGATTATCATTATTAATTTTTATCATTCATAAACATTTGTAAGAATATGTGTTTTAAAAAAAAGCTTAATAAATAATGTAATTGGCTTTTGTCACTGAGTTGGGTTAGAATTTTGCGTCCAAGTGCCAAAGACGATTGCTTAGCTCTTAACAAAAATTAAACTTATAAATACTAAGGAAGGATTGACTTAAATAATTAATTTGGATAGTTAAAGCTCGTGACACAGGGATTTATGTGGGTGATGCTCAGCTTTCTGGACTTGGCAGCAGGCTCGCCCCACGACAGATTCATGGAAGGAGCAGCATGCACGCTCGTGGGGATCTGGGCTTGGGAATTCGGATGCCAGGACTGAGTGGCCAGTAGGGGTGCTGACTTTGACTTGGACCAGGCATGGGCCGCTGCCTCCAAATCCTGCTTGATGCTCTGCAGAACCAAGTCCACATTGTAGGAATAGTGTCCTGATGTGGAACTCGTCACTGAATTTGCGTTGAAAGAGGCTCCTGATGTGGAAATGCTGGTGGTTGGAGCAGCCGTAGTTTGAGCCAGGTGCTCCAAGATCTCGCTGAGATCGGAGCTGGAACACATGCTGTTGCTGCTGTGATTGACAGCATGGCAAGTTGCTACTTCGGACTTAATTTTGGTCTGCACGTAATCTGGCTGGGGATTCACCGGAGCTACTGCCACCACTGGACGCTTTTCCGCTGCAGCAGCGGTCTCCCTGGGATCCTGGGAGTATGACATCAGGCGCTGCACTATCCCGCGATGGGCACTCTGCTCCGCCTGGGGCTGAGCCAGCTTGGCACTAGCCTTGGTCTCGCGGGGTCCCTGGATGTCCTTCTTGTACTTCATGCGTCGGTTCTGGAACCAGATCTTCACCTGGCGTTCGCACAAGGACAGTCGCTGGGCAATCTCGATCCTCCGCGTCCGGTACAGATACATGTTGCTCTTGAACTCGCTCTCCAGCTCCACCAGCTGGACACTGGTAAAGGCTGTACGGGATCGCTTCAGCTTCACCCTTTGCGAGTCCTGGCTGGACTGGGACGGCAGGTTCTCATCCGAGGACACCTGCTGCTGGTGGTGCTGCTGCTGCGCGGAGCAGTGATCGTTGAGGGTGGTGGGGTTGGAGTTCATCTGGTTGTAGCTGGGTGGCAGACCGTTCGCAGCATGATGGTGACCATAGAGTAACTAAAAAGGGGGTAAAAAGAATTAGTTTATTGTTACGTTTTGTTAGAAATATGAGTACTCACATCACTATATTTCACCTCGGAAGGAGCTGCTGTATAGGGGCCAACCTTGGCCTGGTGCACTGGGTAGTAATGCATGACGGATGACATTTCTCGATGGTACTGCCGACTGGGCTGTCAAAAGTGGAATGATCTGCCGTCCTAAGCAAACAACCTTATATAGGAATCCGTTTAGGTAGTGGACATGAGCAGGTCAATTCCGCCGACGCATCCTTGCGAAAAAATTTGCCTAAGCCCGCGAGTCGTAAATCCCTTCGTCGCTGGCCGACTGGCACCTCGGAGACTAGCCAAGTCCGACGACTCCAGACTCCCGAGTCCCGGCCATGGGCAATGGGCAATCTAGAGGCTTGTTTTGATCGAAATCCTACCGGGATTTGGCGTTGCGTGAGACAGCTCCCGGGGTCCCGGTGTCGAGAGCCGGAGTCTCGCCAGGTAGACGGGCTGATGATGATCGGAGATGCGGGGCGATTGTTGTCCAACTTGTAGCACCTGTTGAAAGAGCCTCCGGAGGCGGCGCTGAAAGTGAAACCGAGGCTGTTGTCGCGGCTTTTGGTCGCTCGCCGTCCGCAATTATGCCCATAATGCAATGAAAGCAATGCTGTGAGAAAGGATACTCCTCGGGGTTTTATGCTCGATTTAGACAGTTTATGACTTTGTTTGTTGCAAGGATATGTCGGAGAAGCCGAAGTCTCCGTCGCGGCGAATGCGAATCCGTCGCGGTCCTCTGGTCCCTTAGACTTCCCAAACTCAGTACTCGGACTGAGGGAATTGTTGCAAATTTTATTACTGGCGCTATCGGATTTGCTCCTTCTGGGAATTCGCTAAAAATACGCTGGAACAAAGGAAAAGTCAGGAAGGGACAACCGTGTGGAAATATGGGATCGTCGGGGGTACAGTTGAGTGGATCTTAACTTTTATAAAGTATGAATCTGATTTACATTTTTTTATATTATTTTATATTTACAATAAAATCAAATAGAATTTTAGAATTTTTGTTGGAAATGAATTTTATATTAATGAATATTAATAATAAATAGATTAATACAAAAGTTTTTGTTCATAGATAATATAAATACAAATAATCTTTGTATCCGGAATTCTAATTTTAAAATGGAAGTTTTGAAATTAATCTTGAGCATTACCACCAAAAATAATCTTGAGTATCTTAAGAAGCAATTTAATGTCTATAAAAAATAGTTTGGAAATGGTAAATGCCATTTAAAGTACTAAAACCATTTAATACAATTTGTATGAACAATTTAATTAATTTTACCATGAAAGTCTCAAAGAAATTAAAAAATAATTTAAACTTTAAGGACCTAATATATTCAGAAATTTTTATAAGCTTTATATTTTACATGTTTTAATCATAAAGAACGTTTTCACATGAATTAAAATGTATTACATTTTAAGGAACAAATATTAAAGAAATAAATAGATAAGATATTTATTATCGCATTTGCATGAAATTTATAATTAATTATTTAAGCAACTAATCATTTCATGTATATGTGGTTTTTACTAATTAAATGAAGTACAAAAATAATGTGGTGAGACAGAAGAATGGATTCTTTCGTTTACCCAGCACATCCATAATCCACCTTCTAAAACGCGCCCATTTGAACGCGCCAAGGAGCAAGATCAATAAAAATTACAAAACTGGGAGAAACCCGATCAACATTCGTTCATATAGAGCGCGTTTTGGTTTTCTGGATTTTCCACAATTTATATCAAAGAAAATAGAGGCAACAAGTTGCCTGGCGGCGCCTGTACAGTGCCTACCTAAATAGTGCGACCGGACGAGGCTGGGTCGGGAAGGTTGCGGATCAGGTAGCTATATAAACACACAGGCAGCTGGTGCAAAAGTTTTACGACTCGCGGGTGTTCGCGGAAAAATCGCGAATCATATTTTATGACAGGCATGTGTGAGTGTGGGCCATAAAGTGCATTTTTAAATTCATAAGATTTTCGGGAAAACCAGATACTGTTTTCGTTCATCGTGGAAAGAGACGGGGAGAGGTCTACGTGTCCTTTACCATTTGTTAATACAGTTAGTCGCAGTTTACTCGATTGAAGAAGTTCTAGTATATTCCGTTATAGATTTACATAAAACTTAAAAGACAAAATCAAAGGTGCACCGTAAATGTTAGGCTAAACACATTTCAATGTAACTTGCAGTGATTTAAATAAAATAAATGGGAAAGTAACTAATTCCGTAGGCAGGAAATAAATCAGTGACACTAGAACATGTGGTCTGCATTTGTTGATAAGACAATTTGCTGACTATTCTCGTTGAAAGAATGTGCAAATGTTTGATTATGTCAGACACTCTGGCATAGCATAGAAATTGAAAATATCATATCGAATATTATTGTTTAAATGTTCAATCTTTAAGAGGTAATCGTTGGTATTGATTACCACCAAGAGAAACATTTTTCATTTCGATTAGTACAGTTTTTAGCTATGCCAAATTGTTCCAGAAATGATTTTCTTGCTGGTGAGGAATTTAATTGTGGTTGGATAACTTTCCCTGGAATACGTTCAAGCCCATAAGGCCCCAAATGGATCCGGCTGCATATTCCTGGGCTTTAGTGGAACATACTGCCAGAAGCAAGCGGGGCAAAGAGCGTATTGCAGGAAAAGTTTTTGACATAAATAAAGCATCACTAGAAGAGACACCGAAATGCATGTCGCCCGCTGACTAGGCTAGTACATTAAACAATTTACAATCATCTTAAGCCTAATTCTAACTTACTACGCGTAGATATCTACAATCACTTGGTATTTGTACAATCAGGAACAACAGTGGTTAAGCTAAAGCTAATAAAACTCTCTGGGACGCCGCTTGTCCAGGCTAATTGAAGCAGTAGGCAAACTGCGAGTTGCCTGCGGCGTTACGATGGGGATTATACGCTTGCATTATCGTATCCATCGTGCATTGATATTGGTTCGATTCGGCCATGGCCACGCCCACTCCCATTCCCAGGGGCGGTTGTGGCCCATGTGGGGGCGAAAGCTTGCCAAACTTGCCAAACGCTCCTCCACGACTACCGGTCCCCGACAGAGCCCTCATTCCGGTGCTCATGTCGTCGCTGCTGCCATCGTCGCAGCTCTTGTCCAGACCCTTCAAAGGCTCCAAGATCTATTGAAAAAAGACCGGATTAGTGTTAGAACTTATAAACTTATTATCATCAAGCAATGAAAAAAACGTCCTAAACTAAAAAAAATGAAATTTTAAAAACTAAATTGCTTACTTCTTCTAAAATATGTGTCGATTTATATATGTTGATTTTTATATAAATTGATATTAATTAAGTAATTAAGACGTTTTATACGAATTTATTTTTAACATGCCTTTCATAAGTAAAATATACCATAAATATTTTCTTACGGAAGTTTGACTTATAAAAGTTTGACCGTATTAATGTTTATAATATAATAGTTTAATAGGCAGGGTTGAAGGGGGATCTGTTTACTGACCTGAAGCGTCGTCTTCTTGCTCGTTCCGTCGTCCATGTCGTCGGCCGCCTCCGTCTCGCCAACGGCGGTGGCGCACGGTCCGCCGAGGCCGATGCCGCACAGACTGGGACTCTCGTCATTCTTGGGTGTTAATGGCTCGTAGACCTCGGAGCCGGGCGAAGCAGCGCCGCGGGCCACAGCGGATGCGGAGGTGGCGCCAGACATCGCCGACCGCATGTAGTAGGAGCTGTTGAAGTTGTAGTCGGCCTCCGGTTCGTCCTTGACCAGGACGCGACAGGCGTTGGCTGGCTTTTGCTGGAAGTCAAAGTGGTGGTACTGCTGCTGCTGAGCCTGCTGTTGCTGCTGCTGCTGCATCTGATGTGGCACATGGTTGGTCTGGTGGTGCAGCTGCTGCTGGTGGTGAAGGATCTGCTGCTGCTGCTGAAAGAACTGGCCGCCATTGGCGGCGGGTCCAGATCCAGGTCCTCCGGGTCCAGAGGAATACTGACCATGCACGTGGCGATTGGCCTGGGCATGGTTGTGGCCCCCATTGTAGTTGTAATAGGCATTGAAGGACTCGCCGTAGTGCTCCGCCATGTGCGCTGTGGGCGTCGAGGGCGTAGGCGAGGGGGTCAAGGCGTTGGGCGTGGCTCCTCCGCCCAAACTCAGCGTCTGCAGGCTGGGAGGATCGCCATCGGTCTGTTTCATGCCCGGCGAGAGGGGCATTCCCTCGTACGACTGATCCTTGTGCTGATCGGACTGGATCTTGTGACGGCGCCGACGGTTCTTGAACCATATCTTCACCTGGGCAGTGCCCAAGGCTAACTTGGCCGACAGATCCGCCAATCTGGGGGCCGTGAGGTAACGTCCTTGCAGAAAATGCTGCTCCAGCTCGGCGATCTGGGAGCTGGTGAAGGTGGTGCGAGTGCGCCGTGGTCGCCGCATCACCAGGGAGTCGGGCAGCTCCTCTGGGGGATACATATCTGATAAGACGGTAGTGGTCAGTGTGCATTCCAACTCACCTGGCTTGGGCATCTGATTCGGCAGATACGGACGTATGTAGTTGTAGTTAATCGCACCCGTTCGCTCATCGAAAAGCTTTGAAGAACCAAAGAATACACTATCTTTATATAAAAACGTGAAAAGATTGTTCGCTTCGGGGACCGAAGCTTTATTTTGGACAATTTCATTTCTTAGAAGAAAAGTTTTCGATTAAGTCTGCTACAATTAATCTTGTATATCTCGCACCTCTACTCTTCTTTTTAATGTGTTATGATTAATTTAAATAATGAGAAACATATTCCAGATTTTTCTTATATATTTTACAGGAATTTCTTCTTATTCATATCGAAGTAAAATGAATTATGAACTGTACCGAAGGCTGCTTCTATTAAAAAACATTTAATTTAAATTTATGTGGACGAATGTATTTAAGAATTTAAGAACTGAAAAGTTTTTCTAAAATCAATATTGTAGTTTCGTAAACAAGGGTCAAACTGTATTTTTAAAATAGCTGTCAAATAATCCTAAAAGGTGATGGCACTTGGTTTTCAAGGCTTACAGAAGGGAGAGTTCACTGTATTTATATGATCTCGGACCTAATTGTTGGTCGAATGGGTAATACTTCCCGAGAGCTAAAGCCTTTCCAGTGTCCACTCACCAGATCGAAAGGATTCCGGAATTGTGGCGGCAACTGGAGCTGCGGATGTTGATGATGTGGGTGCGAATGCGGGTGCGGATGAGAGTGCGGATGTGTGTGCGAGTGGGGCAGCGGATGATGGTAAAAGTTTTGATCTGGCGGCGGTTGCGCCATTTTCCCCAAACACTCCGCCGCTTAACTTCAGCGAAATGCAAATGGAATTTGGACAATTTCGTATTTAAGGTAACCGGTTACGTTCGAGACGCTCGCGAACTTATTTCGCCAACATTTTGTGATTTTGCGATCCACTTGCTTCGCATCTGCATAGTGCCGTTACTTAGGGATGAGCGAAAGGTGGTAAAGAAGGAATAATAAAGACCAGGTCGTGGTTATCGATCTGCGGCCGCTTAAGGCCAATGCTTGCATCAACAAAACAGCTTTAATTAATTTCTAAAAACATTTGTACTATAAACAATTTATTTTTTTAGGCGGTTTCCAACTATTCACAAGTATCTTTTATAACAGTCTGGCAACACTGCAGTCCGTGTGAGTACATTGAGTTGTTGGCAGAGGGCGTTAGCAAACGAAAGATGAGCACCGCCCGCGGACGAAAGAAGAAGTGTTATTGCTCACTGACAAAAGCTGAAGTACATAAACGTTTAAACCGCTTACTAGAATTACCGTTGCAATAAACTATTGGTCAATAAAATGTTGTAACGCATATTAACGGCGTAAAGTCCCAGCTTTATAGTTAATTTCTGTTGTTCTTAAGTAAATGCGTGTAGTGTGGTTAAAGCAAATTATTGGTAAGCAAATGCTGGAAACAGAAAACAATAAAAGGTAAATAAAGGCATGAGGAATGTGTTAGAGCAACGCACTTCAATACTGTTTTCTTAATTACAATAACACATTTTTTTTAACTATAGTATATTTTTTCTTTATTCTTCAGTTATATTTCTGGTTTTAAGAAGAACCACTGTTTGTTGCCAACCTCAATATTGAATTATTCCGTAAAAAAGTCCTGCAAACTCTATCGAAACAAAACATATCGTCCTCTTTGCGCACCAATAGTAGTTTCCTTTGCAAAACGTGTGCAAAGAACAGAGTTAACTTCTAAACTCAAATCCCCCTTTTTGTTGTTATTCATCAATAACTTTATAACGAATATAGATTAGATTACAAGAATCCGTAATCATTATAAATAATGTTTCAAACTTATTTGTAATATTTTGATCAGTAATAGTTTTTTTTTTGGTAGTAAAAAACCTAATCATTATTTGTAAGTAAAAAAAAACGATCGGTTGGATATGCGATTATGTATAATGAAACGATAATGAAATAATAACTGCCTAATAACAATATTGTACATAATTTAAATTTTTGCACAACATTCAAGTTAAGCTTCCAGGAAGTAAATACATATTTTGGGCACACTATTAACCTACGAATTAAAATGTATAGCCAAGAATTTTCCAAAGTTTTAGAGGACTTCACCATTTTTCAAATAAATCCATCCAGCCAGTTGACCTTTAAGCAAGTGTCACAAGGTCTTAAGTGAAATATTTTTAATGGCATTTACCGAATAATTGTCGTGTTGACTTTTGGGATCTGGCATGAGCTTGTTGCTGTTGCCTGACTTTTGTTGCTGCTGCCGCCTCTGCCAACTGGCAACAAAAGTCAATTCACAGACACTCCAGTCGGCGGAGTCGGAGTCGGAGTGCAGCCAAAAGGCAAACAAAATACGCGCACATAGTCAAAGCCAAAGGATACACACAAAGGTACAGTGGTTGCGCTTAAATAATCAACTCCGTCCGTCTAATAAAAAAATATATTTTATATAGATATTTTTAATTACATTAAATTCGTGAAAATAACAAAAATATCTGCCACTCTTATAGCTAAAAATTCAGAGTTACAGATAAATATACTAGTACTGAGAGTTAATAATTATAAAAATATTTTTTCATTAAAATTTTTTAAATATGTTTTGAAATGCTTAAAATTTGTATTTGAAGCATACTTAGTTTTGTACTTAAGATAAAATGCAATTAAATATAAACCATGCATAACGGCGTTTAAACCAAAATAGTTCTGTTAAACTTGCAATAACAGCGGTGTTGGAACTATAAAATAGACTGCTTGTTTTAAAAAATTTTAACGCAACTAACTACGAAATCTTTATTAACCTCATAATTTATGAGTCATAAATATTTAAGTTAGCCCTAGGTGTTGTAGGCTTATATGAATTAGCTTTAGTAAACGTATTTTAAATACCCATATATGAAAAAGTTTGATTAGACACCTTTTTAAATAACTTAAAATAACTAGTAATTTAAACTTGCACCCAAGATGATTCAAAATATTATATAACATACAATAAAGGAAGAGCTGCCATTATTCCTATATATTTTGTATCTCAACACAAATATAATGGTAAATGTTCAGTATAAAAAGATAATTACATACTTAGTAAGATTTTACCAGGTATTTCTGTGGCTACACTGTCTTGTGTGTTTTTCGGGCTTGTATAAAAAGGATGTGCGAGGAACCACTGTGCGGAATTGGGCCACAAATTCACACGCAGTGTGTGACAAAGGACTACTCCCCGCCCCGCTCGACTGCCCCGCTGGTCCTGCGAATGCCCTCTGTGTGCCGCTGCCGAAGCGAAACACCCAAAGAGTCACTGACAGAAACAGGATTCGGGTAATAAATTACAAAATTTGACATTTTCTGTTTTGGATCCGCTGCGGCAGCCCTCTCTTTCGCACGGCCTCTGGCCGTCTCTTTCGTTCGGTGTGTGTCCAGTTTGGTCGAGCCAAGTCGACCGTTGCGTTGCGCTGTGTGCTGTGTCCGAGTGCATAAAGCGGCCAGGACCTGGCAGGTCCTGCTGCCAGGACCCGGACCTGGCCCTGCATCCAGAAGGGCATCGACGCAATGGTCGTGATGACGCTGGACTGCAGTCGATGCGAGGACTGTGGGTTATCCTGGGGAGGGGAGAGCGGACGGAATAGAAGCGCCCTATGCGGTCCACAGATAGTTAACTGGAAATTTATTATTTTACACAATTTACAATTATCTGATTCGAATGTGCACTCAGAGACGGCAATTCCGGGAGGGGGGTGCTTTGTCGAGTCGGACGACAGATGCAGCTGCCTCCCAAGGGAACGGCCTCATTTCAGCAGAAGTCACCGAGACCGAAACGATTTAAGATGTGATTTAATTTCCCAAAAACTGCGGCTATAGTTTTCCTCGCTCTTAAGGGGAATTTCTTCGCCTGGCAGACAGCGTCGTCATCAATCATTTCCCATAGTTAAGCCGGGTTAACCTCGACGGGTTTTGGGGGGAAACTTTGGCAGGGGCTGATCAGAAGTCGGGCTGGGAAATATGGAAATTAAATACGATTGTGAGAGAAGTTTCCGCGGCCAGCGAAAGTTTCAAATCAAACCACTGGCGAAGCGCTTTAAGTTATGTTCAAATTTACTTTAAATACAGCTTCCTTAATCTCTTCTGAAATAAATCGATTATAAACACATTTAAGTTAACCGCAAATAATGTATTTTTAGCACACTTACTTTAAAACAAATTAAAAATTTTAAATGTTTGCAATTGAAGTTTCGGTTGACTGTCGACAAATTTTTTAATAATAAAAACAAATAATTTATAGGTATAATACATTTTATATATATAAGCCCCTTTATTATACTTTAAAATGTGTATACTTTAAACTTTTTTCGTCAAATTGATCAAAAAAACTGTACCTCCATAATGTTCATATATTCTTTATTAGACTATCCATAAGGAAGTACAGTCGAACTTCCATAACTTGAAATACCAGCTGCCACCATAAAATTAGAGGTAAATACTGCCAATAGAAAATAGTTGGTTTTATGGATATGTTCGTTTCATTGCAGTTCGAGCTATAGAAGAACGACTTAAATTGTAAATTACCCACTTTTAATGATATGACACAAAAATCTATAGCCAACACTGTTAAAGTTCTTTAAATTCCCAGAATGTTTGTCCTTAAATATCCCACAGAATTTCCCAGCATGGCTGAGCAAGGACTTGAATTAAATCCCACCCGCCTTGCGTTCCACCCCCTTTTCGCTGTCACTTTTCACGCATGCGCCCCTGCTCCTGCGCAGAAAGGGACGGCACTATTCGGCGCTGGGATCGCTGGCATTTCCAGAGCGGCCAGGATATTCCAGAGTCCGCTCGCCATGGTTGTTGCTTTTGTTCGCCGGCAGCGGAAAGTTGCGCGCCATGCCATAAATCACAAATGGCCCGCATTCCACCTTTTTTCCACGAACCCCTAAACGTTTACGACCGAATGGCGGCACAAATTTGAATTTGAATTCGAATTTCGCACGCCGTCTTTCAGTTTGCCTGCGGTCACTTTCGCTGGAGCTTTGTTTTTGCAATGGAGCGCTTATCTTGGGGGGCGGGGGCTGCCCAGTGGGCGGGGCTGGAGGGGTGGGGGCTACAAGAACAGCAACGGGCAGCAAAACAAATCAATTAAAGACGGGAAGGAGAGTGGATTGATAAGTGAGCACGGAGTCAAACTCACGCACAAGTAAACAATTTAAATAGGAATAATCTGAAATGCAAACACAGATACAAGACACAGATACAGATGTAGGAGCAAACACAGATACAGATACAGTCAAGGCGACAAAGTAAATAAGCGAAGGGCGATAAGATCCAAAACGTCGATGACTTCGTCTTCGGCAATGCACTGAGAGAAATAAAGCTTAGGTTATTACTGACAAAAAAAAAACTTCTTTATGTACAAGTATTTATTTATTTATATTCGTAAATCCCAAAAGGTTTAATTTGATATCCTTCACCCATATTTATTTTTTATGCATTACTTATAGAGTGTATCACAATGTGAAAACAATTTATCTTTACGGTATTAAACAAAAGTAAAAGTGTTTATATTATCAAAATATTTATCACGACTTAAGATAGTCAACATATCAAATATGGACTTTAATTAGCTCTATCATTTTGTGCACGACTTACAAAAATGTTCTTTAAACTGGGACTTGAGCTTTGGAACTCTCTATTAATTATGCTTCAAGACTCCTTAAGTTTTCTCTGGTTAAATCCTAATGTTAGTTTACTAAGGAGATGAAAAAACGTCCCTCAATGTTATCTCATGGTTTTATTGAATAAGATTGGTCTATATTCCTGACTAACACTATGTAAAACCAAAATAAAGTAAAATCGTACTATATAGTAAAAAGGTTTTTTCAAGGGAAACATGAAGAGTCAGATAAAATTCCATTTTTGCGAGTGTACTCATTATGTTGCAACGTTAGTCTAGACACGGCAATCGATCATACCGACGTCTATCTGCCTCATTCTCGCGGTGTACAATTTTCGGGACTCTTCTTGGGTTTTGAGGAGATAACGAGCGCTCGACGTCGGCGCGTCAGGAACAGTACAATAAAAACATTCTGAGATAGAGAGATGCAGAGCGTCGGCAGAGATACCGCCTTTTGAGCCGAGCTCAGTCGCCTCCGCCGCTTCAGTCGAGCCCCGAACGCGAAGTGAAGCGCATTGAACCCACAACAAGCGAGATAATCGGAGACCGAAGCAAATTTACCAGCAACATCCTGTAATTAAACAACTTATTATAAAACCAAAAAACTAACTATTTAATGTGCCAAATACTTTAAATTACTTGTGTATACGACATGGCATAGAATTAAAGTGATCATTTCAAATATTTAAAAGATTCAACTTTCTTCCAAGCTTAAAAGTGAAAGTACATATATGTGAAGATAACACACCACACTTATAAAATTATATTTAAAATATCTCCTAGCAATATTTGAAAAAATCTTGATTGTGATTGATTGTAAATTTGATAAAAATTGAGAAATATGAATTTTTATTTGTGGTCTAAGAACATGAAGATCTTCTAAAAGCGTAATCATGCAGTAAATAACGTTCCAAAAGAGAACCTTTAAACTAAATTACCTATTTAATAGGCGTTCATCCGTGCTCTTCTTTTTATGTTTAATAAACTGTTTATAATATAATCTCGAATTTCGATTGTTTTGTTTTCCAGATCAGCCATGGCGAGTCTGCGGCTTATCATCGGCCTCTTTCTGGGCCTGGCGATCACCCTGGAGTCCGCCCTTGGGGCCCCCGTGATCACTCAGATCAGCAAGGATGTGGTGGCCAGGGTGGGCGACACCGTCGAGTTCAACTGCACCGTGGAAGAGGTGGGCCAGCTCTCGGTGAGCTGGGCCAAGCGCCCCAGCGAGACGGACACCAACTCGGTGGCGCTCTCCATGCGCAGCATCCTCAGCCTGCCCGACCAGCGGTACAATGTCTCGGTCACCGAGGGGCCCAAGTCTGGATCCGCCACCTACACCTTCCGCATCCAGAACATCGAGGTCAACGACATGGGTCCGTACGAGTGCCAGGTGCTGGTGTCCGCAACCGAGAAGGTGACCAAGAAGCTGAGCCTGCAGATCAAGATGCCGCCGGTGATCGCGGAGAGCACGCCGAAGAGCACATTGGTGACGGAGGGCCAGAACCTGGAGCTGTCCTGCCACGCCAACGGCTTCCCCCGGCCCACGATCTCCTGGGCCCGCGAGCACAACGCCGTGATGCCGGCCGGCGGACTCCTACTCTCGGAGCCCATCCTGCGGATCCGCTCGGTGCACCGGCTGGATCGCGGCGGCTACTACTGCATCGCCGAGAACGGAGAGGGCGAGCCGGACAGGCGGCTGATCCGCGTGGAGGTGGAGTTCCTGCCCCAGATCGCCGTGCAGAGGCCCAAGGTGGCCCAGATGGTGTCCCACAGCGCGGAGCTGGAGTGCGCCGTGCAGGGCTACCCCGCACCCACGGTGGTGTGGCACCGGAACGGGGTTCAGCTGCAGTCCGGCGGGGAGCACGAGGTGGCCAACACCGCCTCCTCCTCGGAGACCACCACCTCGGTCCTGCGCATCGAGAGCGTTTCGGAGGAGGACTTCGGGGACTACTACTGCAACGCCACCAACAAGCTGGGCCACGCCGACGCCCGGGTGCACCTCTTCCAGACCCTCATCCCAGTGCCCTCCCTCTCGTAATCCCCCGGCTTCCTTTCCCACGCAACCAGACTGGATCCCCCACTGCAGCTCCTCGTCTCGCTTTTTCGGCAATTCGCCAGTCCGGATGCGGCCTGTGTCCATATTATTAATGATTCATTCAATTAGCCCCCATTCAGACTACATTATTTTCGGACTCACTCGAGATCGAGCGACGTTTTGTGCCTTATGAATTTTGCTCTGCATCTGTCGGTTTATGTAAAACACATCTTTATGTTTAAGTAAATAACGTTCACTGATAAAGTTTAATCGCTCTGTTTTTCTATGTGGTCGGGTTGGATGAGGGATCACCCATAAGAGTGGGGTATTTAAATGATTAAGTCGTGGGGGAAGAAGTCTAAGGAGGAGAAAGGGATATTCATTTTATACATAATATATATATATATTTAAAATGTTTATCAGAAGATAATAACTTAAAGTATATTCTAATGATAAGTTTACCTCTTCAATTCCATAGTACATATATAAATCAGCATACATATAAAGATCAATTTTAAACAATTTGTAGGTACTTGCAATACAATCAATGTCAAAAAACATAGATTAGAATAAGATGATTGATTGCATTCAGTAAATAATCTTAAAAAACAAGAACTTCTCATTGAACCCAAATAAAAGATCTCCGAAGATAAGCTTTAATCGCCAGCTTGACACCAAAATACAGCATGTAACCTCCATTCGAACCCCGTATCCCAACAGTTAATACTGCCGAAAGTCATTTGCCAAAAAGTTAACTGAGCCCGCTCAAAGTGCCACAACATTTAACTCTTCAATCATGGTTAAAAAATGGCAGTCAGTTCACCTCTTGACGTAAACACTCACATGGTTGTGTGGCTAAAACGAGGAGGGGGGTGGAGGTTGTTGCCGAGAAGGGCTTTGCCGAAAAGTGAACCCGAAAGTAAGTTGTTCATTGTAATTGAGAAAAATGCGAGGCATTTGTAAGGCGGCCCAACGAGTTGGGTCTGCCACACTGGCAACACATCTATTCAAGTGTGTGTGGGTGTGCGTGTGTGTGGGGGAGGGGGGTCCTTCTAGTTCCCGAAGGACTCCATTATGGCCCGAGCACATTAGTTTAACAAAATCCCCAACCCGGCTCATCGCTCACTAAAATCAACACTTGCTAATGACTTAATTGTTTCCATTAGAAACTCGTTGCTGGAATACATTTGGCAAATTTTTCATCCTTGCTCTTAGTTTTTTTTTTTTTTGCACATGTCCTGCCGGCTGCCCTGTACCCTTACCAAATGAATCCTGGCTAAATGTCTGTCTTTATTGTAATTGGTATTGTTGCTGCTGCTCGCACGCATTCGAGCCAGAAGTCCAGGGACAACACGTGCGTCCTCGTCTGAAACTCCCAGCCCGAACCTCATCCAACCGCCTCATCCCGTGGTCCTTTGGCTAGAACATCATTTCATTGTCTGCCGGAGGCGGAGGTTGAGGATGTGGCAGGAGCAGCAGGAGCGGCCCAACATGGACGTCGACGTGACTTTTATTGATTTTCCGGCCGAAACCTCCCCTGAGAGAGAGTCGGCAAAAGTCGATTGGAAGGCAAGCTGTGAGATTGTGCGGCTCCGTGAGGTTTAGGGGTGGAAATTGTGTTGCTCGGGCAGGCTACCCTGCCGCAGAAAATGGCAACAGTAAGGCCTGGCTAAGGAACCCCGTCGGAAGGCTTGAAGGAGCGCTCACATTCAGTTCCTCCTCCGCCTGCGATTTCCAGAAGGATGAGGGCTAACAAGAGTTAACGCCTGCGCAGTTGCTCTTCAAGTTCACCAAGGTAAATGGCCAGTGATGCCGTTCTCGACACTTTAAAGCAATGTCTAAATATTGTTAGGATAATCAATTGAAAAAACAAGAGTTTTAAAACATTCGATTATATTTTTCACGGTGTTAGAGTTTACGAGCTTTTAACATAATGCATTTTAATATAACAACTTTAAATCGTTTATTGCGATTAAATGATTAACACGATCTTAAGTTTTTAAAAACTCGTGATTTCTGTAATATTAACAATATTTATTAAGCATTCTTTCGTAGTAGTAATCATAATAAACAAAATGTGTAATATTTACTACAATGTTCTTTACTCTGGAAAAGCTAATATTTTGATTGAGTTAAAAGAATATCTGCCTTATTATCTATCTTTAGTAAAATATTATGAAAAGTGCTTAGTGTTTTATATATTGATATGTAATTTGGGATTGTTAGATAAAAAATGTTATTTAAAAAATTAATTATTTTCAGTAGAACGCTATTTTTGAATAAATGAATTAACTGCTTATAACAATATTTAATTTTCAACCTTTTAGAGCATTTTTAGCTACTTAATTCTGCCTCCAAATCAATCGCAACACTGCCTTTGACTTGCACTTTTATTGGATGCTGATGCTGGAACCTGGAAACCGAATCCGCCGACAATCACTGGCTTCCAAAACGAGCCGCCTCCACAGGCGGACGCTCATTCGACTGGGATCTTTTGGCCAGGATGCAGTGGCCCAGATTCGCGGCTCCAGCATCCAATTTCCCACTATTTTCCACATCCCCGACGACGAACGCGGTTGTAAACAAAGGCTGTGGTGTTGCTTTTACGAGTTGATGATGGCTGATGGCGGACTGCGGATGGCGGATGATGATGCTCGGATCTGTGACTCTATATGCACTGCCAAGGAGCTGTCATCACAATAAAACGCGGGCAGCGGCACGTGAAATTCGATTGGGTGAGTACCTCGTCGAAGATTTGAGAAAAGACCCCTAATTGTGTGCTGAGTGAAATAAGATTTTGGAAACTTGATGAGTTTGCTAGTGCTGTGAGTGCTTTAAAAATGAATTATTTTATGCTAATAATAAAGTTCTTCGCTCCTAACTTTGTGCATCTTTTGCATCAATTGATTAAAAAAAAGTTTCTCAAGTGTAATGTTAATCTTAGCTGTTTTTGATTTAAAAAAAACTGTTTTTGAGTTTTCTTTTTAAATATTTAAATCGAAAAATGTAAGATAGAAAAGTTCTTTATACATAGTTTTCTCTGAGTGAATATTGACTTTATGCCAAGCTCAGGTTTTTGCTTTTTGGCAACTCATTTTTTGGCTTGTGGCCAGAAGTGTAAACACAAAACGTATTTGATAATTTGCCAAGGACGGATTAAAGGATCAACTTTTTGCATTTAAATTTAATTTAGAACAAGAAAGGAAAGCTAACTTCGGGCGGAGCCGAAGTTGATATACCCTTGCAGAATATTATGTACATTATAGTCTCCAAAATTATTCATATGATGCATTCTTAATACTCATAAAAAATCCCAACTTCCTAACTTTAAAAACACCAAAGTTATGGCATTTCCAATCGTTCAGTTAAATGGCAGCTATAGGATATAGTCGGCCGATCCTTATGAAATTTGGTAGGTCGGATTGATTAACCAAATATAAAACCCATAGAAAATCCCAGCTTCCTAACTTTACAAACACCAAAGTTATGGTATTTCCAATCGTTCAGTTAAATGGCAGCTATAGGATATAGTCGGCCGATCCTTATGAAATTTGGTAGGTCGGATTGATTAACCAAATATAAAACCCATAGAAAATCCCAGCTTCGTAACTTTACAAACACCAAAGTTATGGCATTTCCGATCAATCAGTTATATGGCAGCTATAGGATATAGTCGGCCGATCCTTATGAAATTTGGTAGGTCGGATTGATTGGCCAAATATAACACGCATAGAAAATCTTAACTTCCTAACTTTACAAACAGCAAAGTTATGGCATTTCCGATCAATCAGTTATATGGCAGCTATAGGATATAGTCGGCCGATCCTTATGAAATTTGGTAGGTCGGATTGATCGGCCAAATATAACACGCATAGAAAATCCCAACTTCCTAACTTTACAAACAGCAAAGTTATGGCATTTCCGATCAATCAGTTATATGGCAGCTATAGGATATAGTCGGCCGATCTCGGCCGTTCCGACTTATATACTGCGTGCAAAGGAAAGAAGGGTGTGTGCAAAGTTTCAATTCGATAGCTTTAAAACTGAGAGACTAGTTTGCGTAGAAACAGACAGACGGACAGACGGACAGACGGACAGACGGACAGACAGACGGACAGACGGACAGACGGACATGGCTATATCAACTCAGGAGGTGATCCTGATCAAGAATATATATACTTTATATGGTCGGAGATGTCTCCTTCACTGCGTTGCACACTTTTGACCAAAATTATAATACCCTCTGCAAGGGTATAATTTGTTGTACTCCTAAGGCGTAAAGGAGATTTTTGAAGAAAATAAATCAAATTACTTTTCATTAAGTTGGTAGTATTTATGATTTCTGGGTAGATATTTGTATTAAAAACATATTCCTATCCGCCAAATTAATTTTTGGGGTCGGAACCGGATGTGATTTAGAGATCTTGGATTAAACGCACATGTTTGACAGAACTTACTGACCTAACTACCCATTGTGTACCTACAGTAATTTTAATAATGCATAATGTTATAGTAAGCTAATATACTATACCATTATGCATTATTAATATTACTGTAGGTACACAATGAAATGTGCGTTTAATCCAAGATCTCTAAATAACAAAAAATAATTTAATGTATAACATTTTAAAATAGCAAATATTAAAGACCACAAATTGTATTAAAATCTTTAAAATTCTTATAGTACACCTACATATTTTCCTATTCAATTGATTTATTGAATATTTTTATACTTTGACTGTTAATAAAGGTTGTAAATTAATAAATTATTAATCATTTAGCCTTAATTGAATATAAATATAAAAATTGAAATTATTTAAAAATTTGACACAAATTTCTCTTTCACCATTGATTGTGTGGTTAAAATTAATACAAATGAGATTATGTATCCTTTGTATTTCCAAAAAAAATTAAACAAATCAAATATATATTTCCCCACATAGATTTCAATTCCCTCAAAATTTCCCTCCAACCGATCTAAAGATCCCCAGACAAGCAGTTACCACAAAACGTACCGCGCACTGCTTTCAAACTCGACTGCTTGTCTGCAACTGCCCGCCTTTTTCAAAAATGATCCAATTTGTTGTTGTCTTAAGACAATTATTGCATAATAATCCAGGTGCTCTTAAGGAGTTCAAAATGGAGGGTTCAGTGCGATTGGTGAACATGCAAATTAATGGGAGCCACGCCTCCAATCAGATAATTATGAGCATGTTCCCCATAAGTAATTGCATTGTAATTAATGCTGGCACGCCGCTCTCTGTTTGCAA